ACCCCAGAAATCTGCAAGCAGCAATAAAGGAGGGGCAGCTTCCCCCAAAGCCCAGGAGAAATGACACCTGGACTCCCTCCTTGCTTCACCGTCTCAGAAAAAGTAGTGTTGAAGAGGGACAGAGGAGCCTGGGGATTCCTCCTTGCCTTCCATGCCCTGCACACCAAACCAAAACAGGTGGAAGTTTCAGGATCCTCAAGTTGACTGAATTAGAATGTCTTATGTTATATACTATGGCTTATAATGATGGGACCTGGCCAGTATTTTTTACTGAAATTTCACAGCTTCAATCCCAGCTAATTGTGGTACCCTAGTTAGATGGCCATGTCATACAGAGTTCCTCTTACTCTGGACATCCTCTAATGTTTTGTTGTACTATGCATCTTTCTTCTGGGGAGTGAGTGTTCTAACCAGCCCTCGGGTGATAACATTTGCTTTACATAACTTGAACATGTAGGCTGCTGTTTCCTACACCAATCTCTCCAGACTTCTAAACATGAAACAATGTCTGGCACACCTGCATCAAGGAGCGTCTGTGTCCTTTAATATTAAAACTAAGGCTGCTTATCCCAGTTCAGCTGGTGTCCATCATTGGTGCTCAGCATGGCATCTAAGAGATACAATGTTATACAGCCATAGAGCACAGTGGGTGGACATATACAGATGAGGACAGAGTGGGGAGTCTAGACATCTGGCAGAGTGCCTGTCTTTTGAGGTGGAAGGAAGGGTGGCACTTGGCTCTGAACTTCTGGACAAGCATTTTAGAATCCCTTCTCAGTGCCTTCTTTCTCTGCCCATCTTGGGAGTGAGCTCACACCCATCTGCAGGGAATGCAGTGAGCAGTGAATCCTGAAGAGGGGAATACTGGTACACATCCTCACATTGTGCTAACAGAGAGCATGCTGTGCGTGCGCGCGCACACACACACACACTTGAATTTGATTAGATGTAGAGGGACTGAGTGAACTGTTCTCCCCATCACTCCATGTGCTTGTGTGAATCTGTGCGGTGGAGATGACAGCACCGCAACTTCCCTATCACCATCACCAGATGTTTTCTGCTATGGCCAGATCCTCTTGTCTCTGTAGACTCCCTGCTTAAGCTGGTGATGAAAATTCACAGCTGAGCCTGAGAACTGAGGGAACTTTTTCTCACTGGAGAGCACTCTACTAAGATACAGGGGCTTTTCTGGGAAACAGACGAATGAGAGCCAATAAATAGGCCTTCCCTCCCTGAGGACTGGGAGATCCTAGAGGATGGGGGTAGTGTGATTCCAGTTGCCAACTTTGAGGGCCCAGAGGGCTGGCTCCCCACAGCTCCTCATTAAAGGCACACATGCTAACTATTCTTTGTTCTTACACATTCTGGACATGGAGATACCCCAGGATGAGAAGGATGGTTTGGTGTTCAGATTTGGACATTCAACTTGTTTTTCTGAATTTGTTTCTCCACCCGAGAAATATGGAGATGCAAAAGGTGAACAAAAAGACAAGCGTTCTACCAACTGAGCTATGTTCCGGCCCTGCATGTTGTTATTATCCCATAAATCTATGATTCCATAATATACTTAGTGTTTGCTCATTTTTATCAAAAGTATGTATTTATAAAACTGATTCAATCTTACATGGATATCTATTCATCAACATGTATTCTTGAATTAAGTTCTCTGAAGGATACAATCACTTATTCTCATGGTATCATTGGATGGCCATACTGAATTTAAAGAAAAGGTTCCAAGATTCTGAACCAAATTAGTCTTGGTCTTCTCTGCAGGAATCAAAGGGGCTCTTGGCAAATGTGGAACTCTTGTTGGGAAAGCATTCTTCCCAGGGTGTGAAACCATACCTTTGGTGACAGCCAGCTCCTCTTCATGGTAGGGAAAGCCTGAATCTTCTCAGCTGCCCATTCTTGAATCCCCCCTGCCAGGCTTCACTACTCTCTCACAGAACTCCTTCTGCTGGAAATCCAACTGCTGAGCATTAAGCGAGACAACAGGCCTGACTTCCCTACCTTTGGCATATGGCCAATTTTGCTTATTCTCCCAGGGCAAAGCTGCTGGGAGAGATTCTCCTGCACTGGCTCTGCTTTCCTTCATTCTCCTCTCAGGCCCATGTCACAGCACAACATGCCTGGTCCCCTGCCCTGTGTCCATTAGAAAGCTGATGAAATTGAATGTCACAGAACATCACAGCAGCTTTGCTTTGAACACTCCGTTAATTGCTTTGACTTTCTTCTGAATAGCCCCTAAGCCTTCAGGATTAAGGCTCGATTTACTAATTTATACTAAGAAAGTAATGACTATAAATAGAAAGCCAGTTCTGTGTTTCAACCTGTGTAACAGTTAATCTATCCCTGACATAGAAAACTAGAAGCTTCTAGAGAAAAAGTAAACAAGATTTTTGCATTTCACTGTAGGTTTTCCAAGGAAACATGAAAGGCTAAATTAAGAATTCCCTTGTAAACACTTTTTAAAAAAAATTATAAAACATATTTTTGAGATTTTTTTTATTTTAATCATTATCTGTAGGAGCGTTTTACCTGCATGTATGTCTGTGCACCACATGTATCTCTAGTACCCATAGGGGCCAGAAGAAGGCATCAGATCCCCTGGAACTGGAGTTACAGGTGATTGTGTACTGCCATGTAGGTCTGGGGAATCAAACCTGGGTCCTCTGCAAGATCAGCCAGTGCTCTTAACTGCTGAGCCATCTCTCCAGGCCCTAAAAAGCATATCTTTCACTTGGAGATAGCATCTGTGATTTTTTTTTAAAAAGTCTTCCTTTTAGCCTTATGATATATGTTAGATTTCTTTCTAGTTAGTCTTCATAAGGCCATATTATTTTTGAAAGTAATTAAAAACATGTTAATGACCATGGAAATTTAGCCTCCCCCTCTACAAAGCATTTGAGAGACAAAGAGGTGTGAAGATTTGTATTCTTAACCCTGTGACTAGCCATCACCCAAATCCACAAAGTTCCTTCCACTGACTGAGCTGCGTGGGGAGGCACCGACAGGAGGATTCCAACCAGGGAACAGGGATCAATGGGGACAAAGTGCTCCACAAAGGAGCAAAGAGTGCTCTCAGCTCTGCTGTGGGTCTTGTTAGGTCACAGTTCTGATGCCATAGAAAGATGAGACCCAAGATGTTGGCCCTAACAAGCTCCTGTGTATAGCTGCTGCTGCTCTTTGGGTCGTATTGTGAGTGTGAGACCCTGAGGACTGGGGTGGTGAGATGGCTCAGTGGGTTAGGGCATCTGTAGCTGAGCATGAAGATCTGAATTTGATTCCTGAGATTCATACTCATGTTGGAAGAAGAGAACCCACTTCCCACAAATTATCCTCTGACCTCCATGTATATACCATGGCATCTGCACATGCGTGTGCACACACATAAGTAATAACAAGTTGATTAGTCTTTTAAAAGGACCTTGATGATTATCATGATGGTTTTACGGGTTTTAAGGGTTGTTTAAGGAGTTAGTCTAACATTGGGGATCCTAGTGTCTTATAATGACAGTGAGTTCTGTAGGGACTTATGTGTCATCATTTAGGTGTCCTGAGAAGCCAGGACTTTATGAAGGGGGTGGGAATCATTTAGTATTGATGGAAAGTCCTGGATAGCAAAGAGTCCCCCAGTTTCCATGTGTCCTGTAAGACCCTAATGTCTGTCCCTAAGATAACAGCTTGCCTTAAAAGATGAGGCTATCTTAAGGGAACCAAAATGGACTTTCACAGTCAAGATCACCTCAAGAGAGTACGTGGGGCATTGTCCTGACCTCTCAGAGAATCACAGTGTTGAGTTTCTTTAAAGAATCATAATGGCGGTGTCTGGGAACTTGCACTTATTTCAAGGTAAGACCTGAGGTCTGGGTTAGGCAGGACCACTTGAAACTGAGATGCTATGAAGGATCACGGTTCCCTCAAGGTCACAGCACCCTGAGGGCTCTGAACGAGTGAGGGGGTGAAAGTGGAAATTGGAGAGTAATTGAGAATCTCATGTGTGGAGAGTTAGCACTGAGTGAATACTCCTTCCTAGCTGAGGGAACCCAGGGGTGAGCTTGGCCAGGAAGGGGTGAGGTGTGGGATCCAATGCCAGCAATCATGGAGAGTGAGGATGGGGGTCACCGTGTAGTGCTTGAAGGTCCTCCCGCTTCAGTGTGTCCTGGAGTGTCCTACTGTCCTAGGATGTCAAGGTATCCAAGAGGACCAGCACACCACTTATGATTTTTTACCCTCAGTTTCCTAGTTTCCTGGAAACAAGTGTTTTGAGTATGGCTCACACACTGAGATGTCAGGCCTCATTCCTGCCCCCTCCCCCTGCTGTCCTCTCCACTTCCCCCTCCCTACAGGGGGTTCTGAGGAGGGGTGTCTTCATGGGAATGTCTTCTCCTCTGTCCCCTGCCTGCTCCCAGAAGGGGGATTTAACAGGACAAAAGATCTGGTCCCCTGGGAATATGAGCTCTTGGCCTCAGCCCCTGGACCTTCTGACAAGAGCACCTTCCCTCATCCGGCTTGTGATCCTCCCCCAAGCCAGGGGGCTCTGGTGACCAAGAAATGATTGGACAGGCCCATGGGGCCAGGAGGAGGTTGTTTCTCCAAGACGAAGGGGGAAAGACAGGTAGCGTGAGAAAGTGGAGGGCTAAGAGAAAACAGAACAGTGTCAGGGAGAGAGAAGTAGAGACAGGCAGAAACTGGGCAAAGTCAAGAGAGGAGATGTCAATCCAGAGGAAGGATGGGGGGTTAGAAAAAAGGGGAAAACAGTGAGTGGACAGGTATCACACACACACACACACACACTTACACACACAGAGACACGCGCGCACACACACTCAGAGACAGAGACAGAGAGAGAGAGACAAAGAGAGAGAGACTCAGAAAAGGCTAGAAGGTAGAAACAGGGAGAAGAGAGGTCAGAAAACAAGATAGACATAGAGAAAGACTGCAGGGACTCAGAGACTGAGGACAGTAGGCTAGCCCATCTTTGGTTTGGGTGACTAGCCATGGATACTCAAAGAAGGAACCAGCAGGAAAAGCAAAGGAAGGGCCGTGCCTGTGGTCGATCCCTGCCTGAACCACATGTGACCCCTGGAACCCTGATCTCCACAGTAGGTGAGTGAATCCCCAGGGTTGGCTTGGGTCCCCGAGGGAGCAGCAGATGTGGGCCCCAAAATCTGATCGGCTTGGAGCAATGGTTTGTCCCATGGAAGGTTGAGAGATGGGAAGCAGAACTGAAGTTTGTCAAGGCTTTGGGGGTCTTAGGAAGTGACACAGCAGAAGTCCTTTGCTTTTCAGGTTGGGATGTGAGACCCTGCCTGAGGGAGCTATGGAACTGACACTTAGGGCAAAAGCAAAGTTGGAGCCTTGTTCTAGCCCAAAGTGCTTTCTTCTTGGACAGAAGGAGATGAAGGGACCGGGAGGGCAGTTCTGTGCCTGTCTGAGGACACTGGATGCAGAGTGGGAGCCACACCCTTGGTTTCCCCCTGGGAGGGGTCTCTTTATTCCAGACCCCGCCTTGCCTTAGTGCCTATCTTCCCAGGTGTCTCCTCTTGCCTCCCTCTTCTCTCTTTCCCCTGTGGCTCTTAGACTAATTAATATGAGGGCTTAGGGAGCTTTTGGGGATGAGAGGCAAGCCTTTCCCAGGAGCTCAAGTTCCTGCAAGCTAGTGGCAGGGCAAGGGTAGAGGTAATGGACTCTCGAAGAAGTATAGCCCGGGGTGGGGGCGCGGGGGGGGGGGATGTGTTGTCTACATGTAAGAGGGGCAGGGGACACTTCAGCTTCCTGAGCAGGGGCAGGTGAGGAGAAGGAGAGATGTATGAAGGAGGTTCGTGGGAGATGGAACCTGTGAGTGGCATGCTAAGTAATCCTTAGTAGACAGCAAAGAGAAGACCCTCAAGGTATGTCCTGTGGGTCATATGTGGACCCGGAGATGAAGCACACACAGGGGGTGTAACCAAAACAGTGGTAGAAGCCAGAGGCAGAAGCAGGGGTTTGGAAAGGTTAAGGAGTTCTTGTGGACAAAGAAGACAACATCTCGGGAACTAAGCAGAACACAAGGACTGGCAACAGTGGGCCAAGGATGGCTAGTAGTCCCATTAGTAAATGGGTCTTCCTCCATTTCTCTCCCTCCTCAGACACGAGCCCTGAGACTTTTAGGAGACTCCCTGGTACCGGGCTGGGGAGACCTAAGCTTTGCCCACAGAGGGGTCGTCCCCACTCCCGGCGCCGCCACCGCACCACCTTCAACCCAGCACAGCTGGAACAGCTGGAGTCAGCCTTTGGGAGGAACCAGTATCCTGACATCTGGGCTCGAGAAGGGCTTGCCCAAGACACTGGCCTCAGTGAAGCCAGAATCCAGGTGATGGTGCCCTAAGATACTGGGGAAGAAACAAATATTTCCTGGGTGTTTGGGGGGACTGTCTGAACATAATCATGGGGCTTTTAACCATAACTTAAATATTAAGCAGACTATAGGCTTCATCCACCAATCAACTCCATCTGGGGTGCACCTGACCCTAGCTCTAAGCCCATTTACATGGATGCTGATGGACTTTGGATGCAGTGCTGGAGACGTATAGTGCAGGAGTATCTAGAGCTCTTGCCCAGTATACACATAGCCAGCAGTCTGGTCCCCAACACCACACAAACAAAAAGAAAGTCAAGACCCACTCCCCAGCCTTTTATGTTGACATGAACTCCAGCCAACAGGCAGCCCTAACTATTCACACGCGTGAAGTCTTGTTTCCACACATTCCTTCCCGGTGTCTCCAGCAAAGGCTTTGATAGCCCAAACTACAAACCCTTTCTAAACCCAACCCCATGTGCAATGAAAATATTTCCCCAGTCTTCATCTCTCAGCCTCACTCTAAGGACACTTCCCTGCTATCTGAGGAAGAAAACTGCCATGGCGTCAGATTTATCTTTCTTGTTGCAAGTTGCCATTTCCTACTCAGAGTCATCAAAACTGGGAGAGTTAGATGCTGGCATGAGGATTCTGCTTCCACACCAGCCCTGGCTCACACAAGTCTCTGGAAGAGCTGTCGTTTTCCTAGCAACACCGCAGTTCCTGACTTCCTGTCCTTGAAAGTATGAGACAGGGCCACCCATTCAGGACAGGGGACTGAAGTGACTTCTCTTTCCTCTCCTCAGGTCTGGTTCCAGAACCGCAGAGCTAAGCAACGGAAGCAAGAACGGTCACTGCTCCAGCCGCTAGCCCACCTATCTCCTGCCACCTTCTCCGGCTTCTTGCCAGAGTCCCCTGCTTATCCCTACTCCTACACAACACCACCTCCACCAGTACCCTGCTTCCCTCACCCCTACAACCATGCTCTCCCCTCCCAGCCCTCCACAGGTGCCTCATTCACTCTTCCTCCCCAGCCTGAGGACTGGTACCCCGGCTTGCATCCAAACCCAGCTGGTCATCTGCCCTGTCCCCCACCCATGTTTCCCCTCAGCCTTGAGACACCAAAGTCCTGGAACTAAGTGGTGACAAGGTCACCCTCTGTCAATAACCTTTATGAAATACAAGAAAATTGGGGGCTCTCTTTTTTCCCCCGAGGGTGAAGTTAGAAACGTGGTGAGGGGCAGTTCAAGACTGGAAATAGGATCTTGATGAACTGTTGACAAGGTGAGGAGTTGAGAGAGTATGAGGAGGTTAACTGGTAGGAAATATAAGCCAAAGCGCCAACCGAGGTGATAGCAGGGCAGTGTGATGGGGTCAGTAGATGCTGTTGGTGAGTGATAGTTGAATGGGAGAACCTGAACTGAGGCTGAATATCCTGCAGTCACTCTTTCCCATTTCAGCAGACACGGGGCTTGTAGCCCTACTTTTGTATGTGTGACTCATCACCCTCCCTTTAGGTTCCCTCCCTTATTCAAGGAATGCCCGATGTAGAACACATAGACCAGCTTGTCTGCAGGAGCCTGAAGCATGTGCCTTAACCTAACTACAATCAGCTGCGGCTTTAAACATTCTTTGCTTGTGACAAAGAAACCGCTTGACCTGAGGCCAGCTTGTCCACAGACAAACCATCTAAGGCTCATCAGAGGTCATTTCCTAGGACAGGGTTTTTCCGGAAGTGCCTTGGTCACAGACCTTCCCAAAGAAACACAATATAGCCCAGTTGGTAGTACCATTTCTGTTTTGTGTAGCTTAAACTTGTTTTATTTGTAACTCACTCATTGGTGGGGTCATGGAAGAATCTTTAGAAAACAGACCTCCACAGTTAATCCTGATACTTGTATATTTTCTTATATAACAGAAATGTCTGCAGTCAAAATTCCTGTAGGATACATCTAGATAATTATCTCATTACGCCAGACAAATGTCCAGAAATATTTTGGAGTTAGATTTTTAGATGCACAAGTTCTGCAGCTGACATTTTAACCTGTTACAAAAAAAATATTCTCAGTCAGCTATGATAGGCCAGTTTTTGGGAGAATCTCCAGTTGAAGGGCTGTGTGAACTATACAGTGAGTTCTGTGCCAGGCTGAGATACACAGTGAGACCTTGTCTAAAAAACAAATCCAAAAATATTCCCAAAGAGTTACATGTGTTCTAAGTACGTACAGATTTTTATTGTCATTATTGGCAATTCAGTCTAGCAACAATTTACACTGCACTAGGTTTTAAAAAGAATGCAGAAGTGATACAGGGGTGTCCATCTTTAGGGTATTGGTAAGATGAGGTGTCTACAAATGTATTGGGAGACATTCATTGTTGCCTAGGGACTCTTGAGGCCCTTGGTCTGAAGGTTGGATATGACAGACATGAGGAGATGTGCATGGATTATGCAAATAGTATGCAAATCATTGAGCATTCTTGTAGCTGGGTCTCTGAGGAAGCATCTACAACCAGTTCCACACAGATGCTGAGAGTGACCCCCGCTAGTCCTGAGTCCATCAAAAATATTAGTTTCAGCACATCCTTGATGGTTTTTGGGTTTTTTTTTTTTTTTTTTTTTTTTTTTTTTTTGTCATTTTTGGCAATTGAGAGTGAAATCACTTTTACTCATCTTTAAATTTTCCTTTATTTCTAGAGAGAGAAAGTTTAATTTTTTCTTTCTCTGTAGCATGAGTTATTGATGTAGCTGTGGGTTGATGTAGCCATCTTTCACTTGTTCTTGAGAATGTTGTGGGTGATGCTTGTACATATGGAAACTGCTTTTAACTGTTTGTAACTTGTTTTCTGCCTTTTCAACGAGGGTTTCTTAAGAAGGTTGAACCCCAGTTCCCTAGACAGCTATTGCAGGTAATGAGTTAGCTTTCATTTTAAATGTCTAGAATTGTGCCCATTTTGTAAAACCAGTCTTTTGGTTCATTTTCTGTGTTCTAGGCTTTACAGGAGAAACCAGCTAATGAAATCATTGCTTTCACTGGCTTCTTCAAAGTTTTTTTTTTCATCATTTAGACAAAAACAGCTTTGAATACTCTGAAATTTAATTTACTACTTGCAATAAAATAGTCCTGTGTATTCTTCCCCTCGATCCAATAAATCCAATATTGGGTTGGTTATTCCTGTATCATTTCTTTGATGGTGTAACTTTGCCCTATGGCTTTGTAAGGCCATATGTTTTCATGCATAAGGCTCTAGTGTATATAGGGGCAGCTGTAGCCCCCAAGTCCTTTCTCTCTGTTCCACACCAGAACTGGAGTGTTCAACAACTAAAATGTGAATACTGGGTAAAATGTAAAGGTCTCTTAACCAAACACAAGGCGCGTCATGTCATTTCTTTCAGACTTCTGTGGTTCTCAGAAAGTTCTTGTTTGGTTTAGACTTACTTTAATGAGCCACAGTCTCATTATGTGTCACAGGCTGGCCTTGAACTTGCTGTGCTTCCCTGACAGGCCTGCTACTCTCAGTTCTTGTGTCTCAGCCTCCTGAGTATGGGGTTACAAGCATGCACCACCACATCTAGGCAAGAAAGTGCTTTTGCTTTTTAAGGAAGACACAGCTTAAAGATACTTTATACATTATACATATACATACATACATACATACGTACATATATATGCTCTCTGTAACTCAAATGGGGATTTTTAGATATTTTATATATGTGTGTATCTTTAAATTATAAAAACTCCTAGGGAGAAGTTTTTCAAAAAACATCTTCAATGTGTCATATCATTACATAGCTTTAAATATGCAACCTTTATTTTAAAGTTAAAGTTGATCATACATATATATATATATATACATACCTACATAAAGGGAAATATTAAGACCACACAGGAATAGCAAGCCCCAGGACCAGGAAGGAGATCTGGGTGTTCACACAGAGGTGCTCTGTTCTGTGTGGGGTATCTGACTATGAAATAGTCCTAAGATGTTCTGGATTCCTCTGGCAGCATGCACACACATGCATAAATAAATATGAACCTTTAAAACACACTTTAAATAACTATTTTCAAAACAAACCCCTGCTTTGATTAGAGGAACTAATTGTAGAATTTGTCGAATGAATGAACAGATAGATAAGATTCAGTGGGGAACCCAGAGGGTGCCTAGAAACACAGGGGCATCTTGAAGTAGGTAGGCAAGCCCAGCAAGCCCAGCAGAGAGGATGTGCTTCAGTCAGTGCCCAGTGCCCTGCATCCCCTTGAGATATAGCATCCTTCAGGAGAAATGAAGAGAAAGTTCAGGTTAATCTCAATAAACAAATGAAGGGACAAATGTTATAGTAGTTTAGTGTACCTAGCTTTGCTCAAAATTTAAAAATGCTTTAGGTTATTTTTAAAATTTTATTTTATGCCAGGCATTGGTGGCTCACACCTTTAGTCCCAGCACTTGGGAAGCAGAGGCAGGTGGATCTCTGTGAGTTCGAGGCCAGGCTAGTCTACAAAGCAAGTTCCAGGACAGGCTCCAAAGCAATACATAGAAACCCTGTCTCAAAAAAACAAAAACAACAGCAACAACAAAAAGCAAAAAAGACTTTATTTTATGAATTTTTGCAAGACCTTTGCCACCCCTAGAACAGAGCAGGGGGAGACGAGGAGATCGGGGGATTTCTTTGCATATGATAAAGTGACCCACAAAATGAGTTGAGAGTGAGTAATCCAACAATGATTTTAAAGATATCTGCAACTGCCCAGTTTGGGCAACAATCCTGCTCAGGTGGTTGAGCCAGGGTCCTCATTCTTCACAGGTCATCCCCCTACTGATCCTCTACTCCTCCAAGTGAGGCTGATGCTCCTGGCAACAGCGATGTTTGGTCCCTTTAGCCAGAATCCCCTCTTCCCCCTCCTGTTTCCCCTTAGTTATTTTCTGTTCTCTGGTCTTCACTTTGCTCTTCTGTTATAAATTCAAGCTCTTCCATCCAGTGAGCTCATATCGGTCTGCAGCAAAGTCTCTTTTCTTCTAATGAAAAAAAATACCTGGGATTAAATCTATTTCTTCCCTTTTATTACCCAGCTCTAGTTTTCTTTGACAAAAGTCTTGCACGTGCTAGGCTGTACAGGTTACAGCTTAGCCACACCTTCCATTTTTTTAAGATTATAAAAATTGGTTTATTGTAAAAGAAATTCAAGAATAACCAGTTAACTTCTTATTCACATGCTACCCACTAGAGCCAGGAAGCATTAAACGCTTTTATATCAGGAAGGGCACAACAAGAAAGACAACACAGACAACAGTGTGTGGAGTGTACAGGTGACAGGGCACTGGTGAACAATTTGCCAGAGCCGCAGAGTAAGTGCATCCTCCGTGTGGGCAGACTAGCCTTAGTGTGGGGAGAGTATGGGAAGGTGGGCACGGCCTGGCGAAGCTAGTGGGGCCGTGATGGGAAAGCTTTTATAAACTTCTTTCTCTTCAGTAAAGACTTAACTCACATCTTGCGATCAGTAAAGAAGGTGTTCCTAAACTTTGAGTCTCTTAAGCTGACCCACAAAGTGAGATGTGCCATCTTCCTTCTCCCTCGGGATCGTTGACCTGGCTAATACCTCGGTGTCCAGCATCACTCAGTACCTGACAGCTCTCTGGCCTTATCACATGGTTTGTGCAGACTGCAGGGACTTGAGCACCCTTCTCTGAATCACGACCACACATTCCATTCTAACAGCCTATCTTAGAACTGCACTTTGCACAGCAGGTGAAGAAAATGTGCCAGGATGCTAGAATCCAATCCGGCTTACTAGGGACTTCCAGGGGCAGGAAAACAAAACAGACAAAAAACACCCACACTGAGTTATGCAGCTATTCTTGGAGCTTTCACAGGAGTCAGTTAACAGCTCCTGGTGGATAGTTGGCCCTGAGCATAGGAGCAGCTTCAGGACAGTGATGGGTGATTGTTCCTGAGGCTTTACCTTACAGCCCAGGGTCCTGAGGAGAGGTATGGCCAGAGCTTCCACTTCTGAGACTTGCCAATGGTTCTAATGACACACACACTAGGTCTGCTGGACCATGACTTGACTGAAATTTAAGTTTGGGAGATTTTTTTTTCTCCTCAGGAATAGTTTGTTTTGAGAATGATAAATGAAATGAGTGT